TTAAGCGAAAATCCCCATAGGAAACATCGCTAAGTGAAACAATGTTTCCCCCAAGGGAAAGCCATTCAAAAGCACTGAAGCCGGCTTCAGTGCTTTTGAAGCCCTTTCCGATGTCTGTTTTCGCTCATTTAAAAGTGTCTTACAATGTTTGAAACCTGTTTTAAGGTTGGAATAGTTAGTCCACCTTGTGAAACCTGTGCACACTTAGTTTGGTTTTGTTCTGAGTCTTTGTTAATTTTTGGTGATTTTTTGTTTTCCCCATTTAAATCCATTGAACGGACAGTTCAATGGAATTAAATGGGGAAAACAAAAAATCACCAAAAATTAACAAAGACTCAGAACAAAACCAAATTACGTTTGCACATGTTTCAGAAGGTGCACTACCGAATCCAAGCATTTAAAAGAGGTTGCAAACATTTTAAGACACTTTAATAAATACCTTAATTATTAAAGCATAAGCAGTTACAAAATCACATCAAGCATAGTTCTATAATGTTGTACAGTACATCCCAGCAGAGTCTCCTCCCCTCTGCAAGTCAGCTGTGCTCATCCTTTGCTCTTTGTCTAAGCTGTCTTTTTGGCTGATATTTATATCTTTAAAAATGTTTACATATCTCTCTATTAACAATTTCATTTTACTAGGGTAGTAAATTAAGCTTCTCAATAAATAGCAAAAAAGTTTCAGTGGCAATCCCTGTTAGTTTTGCTGATCTGGCAAACCAAAATCTCTGTAAAAATCTGTAAAATCAGTAAAAAGCAATAAAAACCAGGATCTCTGTAAAATGGCAAGCTGCTACCATTGCATTGTTGATGTTTTGACTAACTGTCCCTTACAACGGTGACTCCAGCAAAATAATATAGGTGTGAAATATGGATACAGTAAGTTATCGATCCAGAAATGTGCTACTTGAGCAGAGCACCACCTACTGGTCGCATTAACACATTGCAACATAGTAAGGCCAGTTAATACTGTATACATTTCATTACTGTTATCCATGCAGTATTTAAAACCTTCATATTTACGTTCAGGAGGTTCGATGTTTGCACACTATTTTATAATCTTTTTGTTTTTCTTTGTGAAAACATGCTATTCATACAAAATAGTCTTGTATCTTAATATGCTAGTCCAGTGGGTGCTGCTGATGGAAGGTGGCATTACAGCCACCAAATATGATGAAGCAAAGCCAGTGCCATTATTGCATGGTCATTGTAAATGTTTCTGATCAAAGTGTATTGGCTGCAAGCTGAGTGTAAGTATTAAAGCAGTTATCAGCTGATTCAAACACTTAGTTGCCTGGATGTATGCAGTGTGTGCATTCATGTCATAAGGAACGAGGCCGATGAGCAGCTGGCTGACTGCAAGGTTGTATTTACCATGCCATCTCAACTCATTGATGTGCCATACATTCTTTCATTGTACACACAATCTTTAGATATGTTAACATACCATACTAAGCCTTATCACTTATGAAGCCTATATACGTTATCTTTATGAGTGAATTAAAATATTTTCACACGGTACTTCATGAGATTAGCATAGTCAGAATCATACTTAGTTTTGGTATTTGGAAAGAAATACAAATTGGCATTTCTTGTTGTTTTTCAGGAGGCCCAAATATATGGGCTATCACTTCTGAAGAAAGAATGAAGTATGACAAGCAGTTTGACAGCCTTAAACCAATTGGAGGTTATGTTACAGGTTGGTGTGTGGGCCTACAGTAAACAGCCCTTTCCAATATAATTCGAAGATGATGATGATAAGTATGTGATGTCAATCTGACCTTTCTTAGGATTTAGTAGACATACACAACTCAGAAGTGGTTTATCATTTCTTTCTTTAGGGGGGGGGCTCTTGGACTGTATACAGCTTGCCCAGTGCTGTACAAGCTGGATCTTCTCCCAGGAAGCCCAGTGGAAAATCTGTCTTCTGTTAGATTCTACAACTCAGCGAGATATCCAGCCACCTACAGTATTTTGAAAATAGTTCACACATTTGCTTTGGACCTGAAGTTTGGTATAAAATATCTGTTGATTTGGAGCTAGAGGTACTTCTAGATTTGGCAAAACCTATCATTGCCATTCTTCTTTATTCATCTTCTTTAAGAAGCAATTGGTATACATGCATACATAGTGCTATGTTCTATCCATACTAGTGGCATGACCTAGAGATTTTGGATCTCAGAAGAGGACATATTCGGTGTTTAACAGTAATTTAAAAGGATGAAATGGACATGGACCTTCCTATATGAAGGAAGTCCACTTTGCCATCTTTAATAGAATTTAACATTAATGGAGATAAGGTGGCTGTACCCTGCTAAAATTATACTACTTTTCTGTTATTTTAGTCCCTGATGAATTTTTCTGCTGTTTGAAAAAATACCCTAAAGAGGGCAGATTAAATGCTTAGCATGCTGAAGTTGGGCAGAGGGTGGATTTGATTTCAATCAAATTTTAAAAATAGATTTTTTAAAAAATTGAAGTTGTGGTTTCAATTAATTTTATTTTAAAAGATCAACCACCCTGGTTGTGCATCACAGAGATGAAAGGATCTGATAAGGGCAATGTGAGACTTCCACTTGAGACTACAGAAACTTTCTGCCAGTAGGAGTAGACCATTCTGAGCTAGAGAGACAACTAGTCCCCCCTGGCATAAGGCATTTTATTATGTTCCTTAGATGGAAGGAACTTGGAGAAAATGCAGGCAGACAACAGATTGTTGACTGATGGATGGTATCAAGAGCTCTATGTAGGAACGGAATTTTTAATGTTAACTTTTTAAAGGAACCTTTGTTGTTAACAGTTACAGACTTTAAAAACTGACATGCATACAGGTGGTGCCTTTAGGGGGCGGAATAGAAATTTGTGTTGCTAGAGATCTAGGTAAACACCAGGCCCCAGTGCAAGGAAATGAGGTGCACTAGTGTTTACATTTGTTTCCATCCACTAGTGTAGACAGATAACTGCTGGATATCTGTAGAAATTTATTTTATTTTATTTTATTTTATTTACATACCACCCAGTTAGCGAATTCACACAATCCCCACCCACTTCTTCCCCATAAAAACTATCTAAAAAAGGAGAATCCCTGTGGTTTGAAAAGTTGGTTGCAGTTCCACTTGCAGCACACAACAGAAGAGCAGTGATTGGGAAACCTAGAAGCTCTCCATGTGAAAACATCTCTGGTGTTAGCTCACTCCATGTTTAAGTACTATTTCTACTCTGGAGTTTTCATCTAACTTATTTTCATTTTCTTATTATTAATGTTTCATTTTACTGTTATAAATTGTCTTGAACTATTCAGAAGAAGTGCAAAATTAGCATATAAGTTTAGCACATTAGTACCTCAGCAAATAATCATATGGGACTATTCTGTGACTTAGTTAAATAGATTATACAGGAGACACATTGATACTCGGAGGTAGAGCTGTTTCATGGACGTGAGGAGAGTCCTTGTTGACATGCTGCCTCCTTCCCAGTCAACTCAGTCCTCCCAACTCTGCTGCTTAGAGAAAGAGTGAGAAAGTGGGCAAAGGTGACAGATTGCACACACATGATCGTGAGGAACAGGTAAGAATGCCTGTGGAGTATATGAACTGCTGACAAACCTCTCCATGCTCTCTTTCTGGATGTTGTGGCAGGGAAGGCGGCCACCCCCAGAGTACGCACCTGAAATGTGCAGTTGAACGCAGGTACAGCTGCTTATATAAACAAACAAACAAACAAACCAGCCATCCTCTCCTATTTGTTCACCTACATTCTCTATTTGGGTGATAAAGGAGATTAACCTCTGCACCATGAGCCCAGTCCTTCCTTCTGCTTGGGCAGCAGCACACAGTGAAGACAGCATACAGAGGGATTAGTCGCCATCAGTGTTCTCACTTGGTTTGGGGCTTCATGGGCCCGCGTGGCAGTTCCAGTATCTTCCGTTCCCCCTTTGGGAAGCAGATAGGTGTTGTGACCATTGGAAATCTGTATCCTAATGTAGGGTTTGTCTACAGACCTGTTTTGAAATGTGCTAAATAGAGTACTAGGATATGATCTTCACATCCAAATGGCACACAGAGCTGAAACGACTATTTGGTCTTCACCAACCCACTGTCAGAAGTGGGAGGAGACAGGAGGGGGAATGAGGGGGATTTCTGCATGCTTTTCTCTTACAGAGCCAGTTGAGAAAAGCAAATAAAAATCCCCCTCTTGTCCCCTCCTGCTACTGCTGCTTCACTAGCCTCTTTTAAAAAGCCAAGCAACACAAAAAGAGAGAGAGAGAGAGAGAGGCATACAGACACACACAGAGAGGTGAACAAATGTGCACAGGAGAGCTTGGCTTTCCAAAGGCAATCCTTTTCTGTCTTTGGAACTTAATCACGTCCATGGAGCCAAGGACTGTGTCATGAAGCAGCTCTCTTTGCCCATATCATGAATTGAAAGAGGAAAGCTTCCTTTGGTCTGTTCCCAGCAGTCATGCACGCTGGAGACAAATCAAAGTAGAGCAATCCTACTTGCACCAAAAAGGTAGAAGTCCCTCTAGAGTCTGCAGGGCTATTTGCATGAGTTTACAAATACGTTTAGTCAAGTCATCTTTGGGACTTCCCCACAATTGTTAAAGTTTTCATTTAATTATATGAATAATCCTTGAATAACAATATAAATTTTAAAGTTTCTTATTCAGTGTTTGTAGAGTACATTTGCATGGCAAGTGGCAAATAGTTGTAATCGGTTGTGCATAGAAGGAAAGAAGGGAGACCTAAAAATTTGATCCAACATGTGATTTGTGTTCTTTAGAAGTATTTTAAGAAAGGGTATCGAATTCTATTACAATTTTCTCTCTCTTTTTTCATATAGGTGATCAAGCTCGTACCTTTTTTTTACAGTCAGGTTTGCCATCTCCAGTCTTGGCTGAAATATGGTAAAGAGATAAACACGATATCTAAAGTTGTTTGTTTGTTTGTTTGTTTGTTTTAAATATTTTACCGTGCCTTTCCCCTTGAAAAAGGACCCAAGGTGGCTTACAAACAACAAAAGACAATATTTAAAATTGAAAACAGTGAGTATACAAATGATGGTTAACATAAAAGAAAATATTTAAAACTACAAACTGAACAAGATGGCATCTTACAGCATTAACAGGCGGTATTATGGCAGAGATCAAAAATTCACTCTGAGAAATGGAAAACACAAAAATGGAAAACACAAGTAGTACTAAAAAACCAGTCAAAGCAATAATGTATAACAGTAACTAAAAATCACACACATGTAGCTGGTTTACTGAGGCAAGGCTTGCCTGAAGAGAAAGGTCTTTGCATGCTTGCAGGAGAATAGCAAAGATGGAGCCAGCCTGGCCTCCAGTAGGAGGGAGTTCCAAAGTCTGGGAGCAACAACAGAGAAGGCTTTCTCCTGTGTCCCTGTCAGATGAACCTGTGATAGAAAGGCCTCTCCTGATGATTTTAACACCCAAGCTGGCTCATAATGGGATATACAGTCGTTGTGATAGCTTGGGCCCAGGCCATTTAGGGCTTTATAGGTTAGTACCAGCACTTTAAATTGTCTTTGGTAACTGATTGGCAGCCAGTGGAGCTGCTGTAACAGGTTATGTGATCCCTGTAACCAGCCCCAGTCAGCAGTCTGGCTGCATTTTGGACCTGCTGAAGTTTCCTGACACTTTCCATTGGCAGCCCCACATAGAGTGCATTACAGTAATCCAACCAGGAAGTAACTAGGGTGTGTGTCACACTAGCCAGATCAGATCTCACAAGAAATGGATTTAGCTGGTGCACTAGTTTTAATTGTACAAATGCACTCCTGGCCACTGTTGAGACCCAGGCATCCAGGTTCAGGGATGAATGCAAAACCACCCCAAACTGTGCACCTGCTTTTTTAAATGGGAGAGTAATCCCATCCAGTACCGGCTGCATCCCTATTCCTTGATCTGTCTTTTGACTGACCAGAAACACCTCTGTCTTGTCTGCATTATGTTTCAGTTTATTCACCCTCATCCAGTCCCTTACTGATACCAGACACTGATCTAGATCTGAAGTAGCTTCCTTGGATTTAAATGGCAACGAGAGGTAGAGCTGGTTGTCTCCTGTATACTGTTGACTCTGAACCCCAAAACTCCAGATAGTGTCTCCGAATGGTTTCCTGTAGATGTTAAATAACACAGGAGACGAAACAGAACCCTGATCCAGGTACTCCACAAGTCAGTGGCCAGGGTATTGAACAGGAGTCTTCTGGCACTGCCTTCTGAGTTCTCTCCTCCAGGAAGGACTGGAGCCACCATAAAACAATGTCCCCAAATTCCATTTCAGAGAGGCGGGTCAAGAAGATACTGTGGTCAATAGTAGCGAAAGCCATTGAGAGGTTCCAGCAAAACCAACAGGGTCACAGATCCCTATCCAGTTCCCATCAAAGGTCATCTACCAAGGCGGCTGAACCCGTCTCTGTCTTGTAACTAGGCTTGAAGCCAAATTGAAATGGGTCTAGATCAGGGGTCAGGGAACTTTTTTACCTTTTAGCCCCGAAAAAATTTATATACGCCAACATTAGCCCCTTGATTTGAAAGGAAGGATCTCGGTCACATGCAGCCAGTCGAGCGCTGCCGCCGAAGCCTCACCACCTGAGCTGCCACTGCCGCGTTCTCCACTACTGCCTGGGTGGCCGTAGAAGAGCAGCAGGTGGCTCGCCCTCCGGGGGCACCTGCTCCGGCACTGGCTCCAGCGGCTGCTTGCCAGGGCGGCCATGGGCCTTGCCGTCAAAGTGCCGTGACAGCTGCCGCATGTAGGGGAAGAGGCTCCTCCAAGCCTGGCTGGCCATCGCAGAGATGCCACTGAAGGAAGCCGTGTGGCCGGGCGAGCGCCACTGCCGCCCGACGGGCTCCTCCAGGGACAGGGTGTGGGGCGGCAGCCCAGTGCCAGGAGGCTGAGTCTGGCCCGGGCCGCCGTCATGGCTGAGCCCTCCCCCCTCCGCCACAATCTACCTCTGCAGGCACTGGAAGGAGAGGCTCCTCCTGGCTGGGACTCTCCAGCTACTCGTCCTGACCTTGCCCTCCCCCATGGCTGGTCCTGCAACCGCCTCAGCTGCCGCACGCCATTGGCCGTAGCCTATCACCGGCTGCCATCCACCATGGTTTGGTTGCAGCCGGGCCGGAGAAGGGAGTGGGAAGGGGAGGCAATTGGGCTGCTGGGAACCCCCCCTCCGGGCAAAGGAGGAGGAGGAGGAGGGAAGGGGGTTAGGGTCACATCTTCATTACCCCCGGGATTTCCCTTTTTACACCATTTGGGGTAATTTACCCCTCTTCCCTGACCACTGGTCTAGATATTCTGTCTCATCCAGAAACCTCTGGAGCCGAGAAACTACAGCCCACTTGTACCTTCCCCAAGAATGGTATATTAGATACTAGTAGGTAATTATTCAGTATTGTGGGGTCCAAATAGAGCCTTTTTTACAGTGATCTTCCTATTGCCTCCTTTAAGCCACCTGGGATCCTACTACATTGCAAGGATGTATTCATCTCCTAGCCAATCAACCATTGCTTTTCTGGCAACTTTTATGAGCCAGGAAGGACAAGGATCCAGCAGGCACATCCTGAAGATCCTGACCACATCATCAGGCAGTAGCAACTGAAATTCATCCATTAACACAGGGGAAGCAGGGGGGCAGTTTCATTCACAGGATGTGGGGCTTACAGAAACATTTAATGTGAGCTCATGGAAAACTTTCTATCCTCCGATTTTACATTCTGGGGAACCCAGAGTTCTCTTTTGTCCTGGAGAAACCTTTGGGAGCCTTGGGACTGGATGGAGAGAGCATTTAGTAGTAAAACATTGCCACTGGTGGTTCTGATCTGGTGGTGATTTTATTATTAAAGGCTCAGCCCATCCCAAGGCACAGGGGAGGACTAGGGAGTCTCAGAATCTAATACAGGAGGATAGGAAGCTTTCCATGAATTTAAATTAAATGTTTAATTTAATTAAATTAAATGGCACTCCATGTGGGTTATGCCAGTACAAATTTACACCAATAGAATGTTGCCCATCTTGTTGTTGCATAGGTAATTGTGACTTACAGGCCCATGGTGACATGAAGTCTATTTGGTCTTCCAGTACAGTGGTTCTTAACCTTGGGTTACTCAGGTGTTTTTGGACTGCAACTCCCAGAACCCTTCACCACCAGCTGTGCTGGCTGGGGTTTCTGGGAGTTGCAGTTCAAAAACACCTGAGTAACCCAAGGTTAAGAACCACTGTTCCAGTAGAAGTTGCTGCCTGCAGATATCACAAGTAGCAGATGGTGTATAGAAAAATAATGAGTAATCTCTGCCAAATATGAATAAAAAATGTAGTGAACCATTGCTTTGTGAAATGTATAGAAGTATACACTTAGTTATTATGTGTGTTACTGTTTTCAAAGGGCTCTTGCAGACCTGAACAAGGATGGGAAAATGGATCAGCAGGAATTTTCCATAGCTATGAAACTCATCAAGTTAAAACTACAAGGCCAACCCTTGCCTGTAGTCCTTCCTCCCATTATGAAGCAGCCTCCTGTGTTCTCTCCCTTAATTTCTGCTCGTTTTGGTAATCATGACTATTCAGAAAATATTTCATGAACATTCCTTATCTTCTCTTTACAGCTGTACGATAAGCATTATTTGATCATTTATATGTCAGCAAAAATACGGCTAAAACATAGGTTTCTTCTGTGCTTTGATGACACAATAATAGCAGTAGTTAAGGGCTCAGGAGCAGTACAGCTAGTTTGGTGCATCTAAGGGGTCTTTGGCTTTGTGTGTCCCAAGTAGCAACCTCCAGGGCCACTAAGGGGAGTTTCAAAAGCACCAACTCAAGGGCTTGCTGTTCTAAGGGAGAGGGATTAAATGTCAACTGGCATATGCCCAGATTTTTCAGATTGCCTAAAGTGGCTTTCCATCCAAAGAATTTTGTTCTATCACTGTTGTGAGCCTTGTGCATTAAGCTATCTGTTGGTTAAAATAAATGGTTTTGATTATTCTACCCCCCTTACTATCTGGGTTGTATTGTATGATTTTCTTTAATATTGGAGGAAAAGCTGTGGCACAAATAAAGTAAATTCATTTGTGGGCAAAAGATTCTTGCAAGAAGTTAGTCTGCATAGTCTTAACTAGAAGAGCTAAGATACAGATCTTGTGAACATCTGGAATGTCACTGTTGTAAGTTAAAAGGTAGTGACTTTCAGTACAAAAACTAATTCAGTTATTGAAAACTTATTTTTAAAACCAGATAAAAAATAAACAGCAATATGAAATACGTAAATCAGTTACAATAAAATATAATTTCAAAATACACTTTGACAACAAATAACATAAAAATAGCAGATTAACAACCAGGAAGAACTGATGGGCTTTTAAATTAACTTAAAAGCTGCCACAAATGAGTTCAGCACACAAATGAATTCTGTACTGTAGGTTTCATCCCTGAGAAGACCCTATTTCAACAGCTATTTGATTTGTTTTTTGTTCATATTTTTAGGAATGGGCAGTATGCCAAACTTGTCTATTCCAGCTTCTGTTCCTACAATTACACCCTTAGCTCCCATGTCATCTTTTGCTTCTGTGACTTCCATCCCCCCCTTGGTTATTTCTGCTGCCCTGCTACCTTCTACCAGCACATCATCATTGCCAAATGGAACATCCAACCTCCTTCAGCCATTACCTGTATCGTATTCTTCAAGTAAGTATAACCATGTGTCACTGTTTTGAGTTTTGGAAATCTGAGCCAAGTGCCTCTGAGTAGAAAAACCAGAAGTCTCTCCTTTTCCTCACAAACTTGCCATTTCCCTCATCCCTCTCCCCTCCTCTTTCAGACTAATTGCTTCCTACTGGAATTACTGCTGTTTTCCCTGTTAGCAACAGCTAAACACTGCCCATTGTTACATTTTTAAAATGAAATGCAACCTTAGACACCGAAAATAGAAGGCAGAAAATATAGTGGAGTGGGTGCTTAACCTTTTTTCTTATGCTGCCTGTGACGTTTGCCCCTTTGTGGCCCCTATTTGTCTCCCAAAAACAGAGCTCACAAAGGCAAACCAAAAAAAACACACCTTTTCACACGCTGCCAGCAGTTGATTTCTTTATCAACGTACAGTGGTACCTCGCTAGGCGACCCCTCTGTACGACGAATCCACAGGATAGTGACTTTTTGCAATCGCTATAGCGATTCACAAAACAGTCATTCCTATGGGGGAATTCCGCTGGACGTTGATTAGGTCCATGCTTCGCGGACTATTTATTCACAAGACGACGATCTTTACAGCTGATCGTTGGGTTCCTAAAATGGCTGACCTGTGTTTTCCGGACCCATGCTTCGCAGGGCAGCCATTTTAACAGCTGATCAGTGCTCGGAAAATGGCTTCCCCTGTGGGTGATCTTCGCTGGAAGACGAGGTAATTTCCCCATTGGAACGCATTAAATGGGTTTCAGTGCATTCCAATGGGGAATTGTTTTTCGCATGATGACGATTTCGTTTAACAACGATTTTCCTGGAACAGATTATCATTGTCATGCAGGGCACCACTGTACTTTGCTTAGGAAAGATGAAGGTCCATTCAGTTTTCTCTTTTTCTTAAAACAGCTTTATTAATTACAGATGCTTCTTTAATAATTCATAAGTATTTACTTCAGGTTCATCAAGCATCAATCTTCTATTTAAATCTCACAGGTTACTATTCACTCCTCAGACTAATTACACCTCAGATATCCCAACTATCTCTCCCCCCCCCCCATCCAACTCTACTCCAGACTGTAAACTAAACTCCTCTCTGGCTCCAGCTTTTAACATCTCTAGTGGCCCCACCTCTCAACCACATCAGCATAAAACATGAATAATGCATGATTTATGTAACATAATAAGGGTGAACGCCACACTGCCACGCCAGCTTTCTTATCCATACTACCTTTCCCCATATGGAGGGGGAAAAGGATAGGCACCCTACATCTTTCCTTTTGCTAGGTGTATTAGTGTTGGTGCTGATGTGATGATGTTAATTTTAAATATGTTGAAGTTATTGTTAAATCGTTAGAGAAAATCCACAGCAAAATATGTTGCATTAATCCTTATTAATGTATATTTTAGTGGTTTAAATATTATTACTTCGAATAACTTGAAATGGGTCATCAAACTCAGTCACCCACTAAAGTAGTGAGTTAAATTGCTGATTGTTAAACCTAAAATAACATTGAATTTTCTGATTAAATTAATGAAATTGTAGCTATTTTTTTAAAATAGCAGATATGTAGAAACAAATGGATTTCAGGTCGTCCAAATGATTCCACAAATGTGGAAGGAAAGGGTTAAGCTGCCTGTTCCCATCATCCCTCCCTTTCTAAATTAAAGCTTCAGAGACTGTTTTGTTAAAGAAAACAGAAGCCCAAATGATACTGAGAATCTTGCACAAATTCCTATTTCTTGTAGAAAGCCACAATTTGTGTCTGGGCTAATGGTCTACCTTTGTTTTCTACTGGCTAGTGAAGAATCCTGATCCCAGCAACAGTTATGTACATTGTAATCACTCAAAGGTTGTTCAACATTAATTAACTAAATGTTTATTAAATCTCGTGAGTTCAAAATGCATTTTTTGGAACAGAAGATGGATTGTAGATGAGAGAAAAGTTGGACATATGGAGGGACTAGAATGGAGAATGCATGGGATAAATGAATAAAGAGTAGGGTACATGTATATTATGTATTGGGATACTATAGTCAAACCTGTTTTCAAAGCTGGCCCCTTTACATAATGCATATGTACAGTATCTGTTATGACCCCTGCATGGTATGGTTTATGGCATTGGTCAACACAACTAGTTAATTGTAATGATGGGATTTCTGGTCATATAGCAATCGGTGGTGGTTGTCTTCCACTGCAAAATGATTAACTTGATCTGTTTCTTTATTATTTCAGCACTTCCTCATTCCAGCTCATATAGTTCCATGATGAGAGGATTTAGCGGTGCCAATATCCAGAAGACACAATCTCTGATAGATTTAGGATCTAGTAGGTATGCATTTACAGGCACAAAAATGTTCATGTCTCAGTTATCAACTATAACCTGAGAAGTAACTTACACACATTTGAACAGGGACTGGTTTTCAATAATTTTTAGTAAAATTGCTAGATTACAGCAAGTACTGTATGTGCTAGGCTCTTGGAAAGCGCATGGCACTTGGAAAGACTTAAGTAATGTTTTCATGTAAAGAGTAGCATAACCTATTGCTGCCCACAAATGGAGGAGGATTTGCCAATTTGAATGTTCCATTATATTATGCTAGTGGCTTTGAAAGCATGATCTCATTTTCATATTGCAGTTCAAATTCTTCTTCGACTACCTCACTAACTGGAAATTCACCGAAGACTGGCTCTTCAGATTGGGCAGTTCCACAGGCTTCCAGATTAAAATATAGGCAGAAATTTAATGGTCTTGATAAAAGCATGAGTGGATACTTGTCAGGTTAGTATAAAATTTTACCTCATAAAATGCAGATTTTTTAAAAGAAAAAATAGACACATATTTTTAGTTTTGTGTAGAATCCAGCCATTATTGCTATGTTTTCTAAAGAGGTCACATGCACATACATGGTCCTTGGTTGTTCTCTTTGGCAAGACTGGACTTTGAGATTTACGAACAAGTCTACAATTTTGGTTCTGTGAGGTAGGAGGGGTGGAGACACCCTTTGCCATCTATTTTTTCACTGTGATTGCGCACAATTATTAAATCCAAACCTGACATAGGAGTATCATACTCCACATCTCTTTTCCAGAGTTTCCTTTGATCTCCATAACAAACAAGTTAATATGTATGATAAGTAATCTATTACATCAGTAATATGGCTAGGCAAAAGACCTGAATAAATTCAGTTTTCAATTTATATTTACTGAAGAACAAGGTAGATAGGATATCAGAAATGGTCAGCTGCTTTAAATATATAGTGAAGCAATAGAATGTACCTTTAGGGGTCTAAAAACCTAAGAATAAACTCCTTAAAGTAACTTATACACATAGATGGGAAACTTTTGTTTCTTGTACTGCAAATGATAGAATACTACACACATCATGGTGAGCAGGCATTCTGGGAATTGCAGTACAAAACCCAATTTTTCCCTGCCACTTGACAGGCTGCAGCACTGAATCCCTGTCTCCCTGCTCAGAGACAAAGCAAGATATCAAAATGGAAAAGTATATCTGTGAAGAGTAGAAACTCCCATAAAGAGGGTGAAAATTCAGTCTTGTCCAGTCAGTAGTCTGTGATGACCTGCTAATTCGTCCTGAAAATGATATTTGTCATCCATATAGTGAAGCAGGCTTCGCCTCCCTGACATCCCCCAGGTGTCTGTTGGATAACAGCTCCCATCATCCCAAGATATCATGACCCAATGGCCATTCTGGTTGGGTGAGGGGAATCAGAATTGAGGTCCTAGTTATAGCACATCCATGCGATACTAGGTTGGGGAAAGACGATGTGAAGTACTGAGTTTTGTAGAGTAGAAGTGAAGAGGATGGGTCAGCTTTGGATGTGTAGTAAGATGGGATGATATTGGTAAACGCAGCTACCGGTGTGTGGTCACATCTGAGCATGTTTCATGACTGCGGGCATTGAAATATGGATGGAAGTGGGGGATCAGTTTACCACAATGTTATTTCTAATTTCTGAACTAATTGACAAAATATTCTCCTTTATTTATGCAGTAGGGGAACAGTAGACCACTTCTAAGCACTCTGTATCTGGAAATTCTTGAAAAACTTTTGCCATCAGTCAGATTTGATTCAAAAGCTTATAGTTATTATACTGTAAAAGGATTATAATTTTAAAAGGAAAATTATCATTTTGTAATAAACTTCCTTCAAATGAACTAATTACTGTCAAGCCTAGATAGGGAAGTAGAACCCCATTATAAATGTACAGTATAGTGTAAATACATTTGTTTGTTGGAGGATTTTCATGATGGTGTTAGCGGGGCTGTAATCCTATACTTATTTACTTGAAAATATACAGTATCTTAAAAATTGTAATGGCTCTTACTTCTGAGTAACCATATCCAGGATTGTGCTGTGGATGCATCTTTGTAGGGCTAGGTCTCTTTGGATAAAACTTAAACTTAAATCCAGTTGGATAGTTGATTTATTATTTACCATCTGCATCATGAGTTCTTTGGTCTAACTAAATGTGCATATTAACATACTTAGTAAATGTAATATTTGATTTACTAAGGATTTCAGGCAAAAAATGCCCTTCTTCAATCAAAGTTATCCCAGACCCAGTTAGCTACTATTTGGTAAGTTTCTTTATATATTGATAAAGACCCTCATACTTTTGTGATACTTTATGACAGATTCAAAATATTATCAAGTGCAGGATAACTTTTGAAGAAATAGTAAAGTATGTTTTAAATGTTAGTATCCATGTTGTTTATGTAATACTGTACTATATTTTAATATATTATTTTTTGGGGTTACAGAAGTTTGTGGTGGAAATGAGTTTACTATATTAATTTAACTTCTTTCAGACTGCTGCTTGCTTGCTTGCTTGCTTGCTTGTTTGTTCCCCCTGGAGCAGATAGAAGTCAATAGTGGAGAAATGTTTTTAGCGCCTTGATAACATGTCTGTGCACAGAAAAGTTAAGCATGGGCTTAATTCTTGACTTAAAATCAGTGTAATGAGAAAGAGCCTAGATTCCCTTTACAAAACATTGGGGTCATATTTCTGGTCCCTCTAAACAAGTATCTTAAGAACATACAGTACACAGAATTTTACCGTGTGCTAGTTTAAAATGTTACTTATTCAAAGTTAGTCCACTTGATAATGTGTCTTTGACACTGCTGCACTGAAGCAGATACTGCTAGCCTTTTATCAGTATCAGTAAGTTTATGATTGTCATTTGACCTGTTCAGATACACATCAACAAATGTACACACAATACAAAGAACACAGAAAATTTCAAAAAGCAATGATAATTTATCAAGCATCCAATAAAGAAGTTCTTCTTTGTGTTACAGCTTACTGCTACCCCTTATTCCCACAATTTTATTGACGTACCTGTTCTGTCCTTCCTAGGTCACTTGCTGACATTGATGGTGATGGACAACTGAAAGCAGAGGAGTTCATCTTAGCTATGCACTTAACTGATATGGCCAAAGCTGGGCAACCACTCCCCTTAACCCTGCCTCTTGAGTTAGTGCCACCTACTTTCAGGTGCATAACACAAGGGGCGACCTGTTAATTTAAATTCTGTGGTAAATACTAAAAGACCTAATGTAAAAATGGATATACTATTTCTTCTCTTTAGAAATGGAAAGTGTGTTGAAAATACAAATTGTCTTCTGCCAACTTATCAGAAAATACAAGAAGACCCTCCACAAAAACTTCCAGGTAACAATGAGATTAGAAGCTTTCACATTAGAGTGTAAAGGTGTCAGGGTGGTGGAGCTAGGTTGTATTGATTATTGCTAATATTAAGTTTTTATTTTGTTCTTACTTAATAGGAACTATTCAAGTACTTTAACTGAATTATGGAACTCAAATATGTGTTGTTATTTTTTACAGAAACAGTTATTTTAATCCTTTGTCAGTACCTCAAAGGATTAAAATAAAGACAGCAGTGAAAATGAACAGAAAAGGGCTGTGTTCTGGGATGTAGGGAAGCAACAGGCAGGATATGAAGAACACTTGGCCTTAAAATCAGTCCAGTTCTGTGTTCATATAAATAACACTTCTCCATTTGTATTTTATATTTTACTGGGCATTTTTCAATCATCTATGCTTATAATTCACCCATGTCCATTATTTTGTGTTGTTCGAGCAAAGAACCTGTGCTTGATCAATTTTTGTAGCTGATTCTACTTGCTCTTCTTTAATCTAGTTACCTTTGAGGATAAGAGAAAAGCCAACTATGAGAGAGGCAACATGGAACTTGAGAAACGCCGTCAAGTCCTGTTGGAGCAGCAGCAGAGAGAGGCAGAACGTAAAGCTCAAAGGGAGAGAGAAGAAAAGGAACGGAGAGAGAGAGAACAGCAGGAACAGGAGCGGAAAAAACAACTGGAACTGGAAAGGCACTTGGAAAGACAACGTGAACTGGAAAAGCAAAGAGAGGAGGAAAGGAGGAAGGAAATGGAAAGACGGGAGGTTGTTTTCTCCAATATTTTTGCATTAGATTTGTGAGAGATGTGTGTTTGATTTAACACTGTGATTATATTATTTCCTTGAGTGCATGTCCATTTTTGTGTGTGTGTAATCCTTACATATACACTCATTTATGTATGAGATTTGTTTCCTAGCTAACAGCCCAAAGAGCAAAGCTAGTATAATAGGAGAAGGACAAACTGGGAACAAATGTCTTTTGAGCAAGTTGTGGGTTCTGTTTGCTGAGTCTCAAAATGCCCAATGAGGTTATTTTCTGATAACTTAGAAAATGGTTAAGATGGATATTGTCTTATGAAGACTAATACATTATGGAATGTAACAGAATATCCACTTATTTACTTTTTTGCTTTATGGAATTTCTGCTATTTTTATTCCACTTTTTGATCATAAAGTATCTAAGGTAAACTATAGAGCACAATATTTTTTTAAAAAAATTAAAATAGTAATGGAGTAGGATATTGCAAAAATACACCCGTTGCACAAACACAAAAATCATAATTTGGCTCAGAGTTTAGGTGCAGTCCAATCTGTCAATCAAGTGGATAAAGGAATAAAGGATTAAGGAAATGAAATTCAGTCTGATACCTAAATAACCAAATAACAATAATAATAAAAGAACAAACAAAGACAAAATTGTGGTGGCACCTTAAAGACTAATTGTTGTATTTTTTTTATGTGAGCTTTCATGGACAAGTCCAGTTCCTCAGAGTTGAGTTAAAACTCCCTATCTGGTTTCTCCACATCAAAAGTAGTACAGTATCTTGTAACAGGTGGTAAGCCAAGTGAAAAAAGACCAGCTCCACATCATCTCTTACATTTTCCAAGAGGACAGCTTTTGCTCATTCTGTCCCTGCCAGCAGCACTGGCAAGTAGGGAATAGACATGTCAGCTAGTACTGGCTAAGCCCTGCTCTGCTGATCTGTGTCTGAAACCCCTTCCAAACCAGAGTACATAAGAACACCATTCAGAAGATATTATGCTACTTTCTGCTTACCACATAAAAGTATCTATGTACAGTGGTATTCCAGCAAAATCCATTGTTGTAGTATTCTACTCCTCCGGGTGTGCCCCCACTAAAAAATGATTACTTAGGAAGGGAGGAGCAAGGGCATCAACTTGACTGTGAAAGGCCATATCCAGAGAGGATTGCCTCCCACCTATATTATGTTGAAGGTTTTTTTTAAATTCTACCAGAATTTTTGAACTCAGTAGTGTCTTTAAATTGTACATTACTGCTGTTCTTTACTTTGTTTTTATTCGATCACATTTTGGAACAATTATTTATTTCAAATTTTGTTTAGATGTTTATATTATATTTTGTTGTGTTTTATATTATATAGTTTTATGCTTTATTTTCTGAACTGTCCTTTGAGCTGTTCAGCTGTTAGATGGCATGTTACGTTATGATAAGTGCTATCAACTTGCATCTGACTTAAGGCAACTCTAGTTGGGTTTCTGAAGTATGTGAGGTTTGGTTTTATCACTGCCCACCCCTGTTCATTTCTCAAGGGAGGATCTGAACCCAGGTCTTCAGAGTCTTGGCTCTTCTAAATGTGGGGGTGATTTGGCTCATCTATCATCACATTGATTGTCAGAGTTCATTCGGTTGATATGGCTGGCTAGATACAGTAGATGTTCCGTTCTTCGCTCACTGCTCTGTGTGTGTCCCTCCTGAAGCTGCATGCTAAATGGAAGAGAACAACCATCCCAGATAAAATATATCTACTTTTCTTTGATTGGGGTATGCTCCTCTGCTGGGACCTCTAGATGAAATCAAAGTACTAAAATGTCATAAATAAACACCCACTGGTCTATTTATTTAATTTGCCGCTACAGGCAGCAAAGCAGGAACTTGAGCACCAGCGTCGTCTAGAATGGGAGAGGATTCGGCGACAGGATCTTCTTAATCAACGTAATAGAGAACAAGAAGTAATGGTCAAGTTGACCTCTAAAAAGAAGAGCCTTAATCTTGAACTAGATGCACTGGTAAGTCCTGTCCTGCAAAAAACATATGGAAGTACCATTAGGCATTGATAAGCTTGAGCACTGGGTTGAAAACAACAGGATGAATATAACTGAGATAAGTGCCAAACCTACACCTAGGTTAAAAACCCAAATGCACAGTTACAAGATGAGGGGTCCTTGGCTCAGTTATATTATGAATTAGAAGGATCTTAGAATTGTTGTAATCAAAAACTGAATATGAACCAATAGTGCAATGTGGCTACAAAAACGACAAGTACAGTTTTAGGCTGCATTAACGGAAATATAGTCTCCAAATCTCATGAGGTACTGTTGTTCTTTAGTCATTTAGTCGTATCCGACTCTTTGTGACCCCATGGACCAGAGCACGCCAGGCCCTCCTGTCTTCCACTGCCGCCCAGAGTATGGTCAAATTCATGTTGGTTGCCTCGATGATACTGTCCAACCATCTCATCCTCTGTCGTCCCCTTCTCCTCTTGCCTTCACACTTCCCCAACATCAGGGTCTTTTCCAGAGAGTCTTCTCTTCTCATCAGATGGCCAAAGTGTTGGAGCCTCAGCTTCAGGATCTGTCCTTCCAGTGAGCACTCAGGGTTGATTTCCTTTAGAATGGATAGGTTTGTTCTCCTTGCAGTCCAGGGGACTCTCAAGAGTCTCTTCCAGCACCACAATTCAAAAGCATCAGTTCTTTGGTGGTCATCCTTCTTTATGGTCCAGCTCGCACTTCCATATATCGCTGCTGGAAAAACCATAGCTTTGACTATTCAGACTTTTGTTGGTAAGGTACTAGTCTCCTGTATTTAGCACTAGTTAGGCCTCATCATGAGTACTGTGTCCAGTTCTGGACACCACACTTTAAGGAGGATGCCAACAAACTGGAGTAAGTTCAGAGGAGGGCAACAAAGATGGTCAGGGATCTGGAAACCAAGCCCTATGAGGAAAGACTGAAAGAACTCAGTGTGTTTAGCCTTGAGAAACAAAGATGGAGGGGAGATATGATAGCACTTTTCAAATACTTATAGGATAATCATACAGAGGAGGGGCAGGATCTGTTCTTGAGCATCCCGGAGTGCAGGACACATAATGGGCTCAAGCTACAGGAAGCCAGATTTAGGCTGAATATCAGGAAAAACGTTAGAGCACCACCTTAGTAGGTGGTGAACGCTCCAGCGCAGGAGGCATTCAAGAGAAAATTGGACAACTATCCGTCAGATCTGCTTTGACTTGGATTCCTACTGTGAGCAACAGGTTGGACTCAATGGCCTTATAGTTCCCTTCCAACTCAGTTATTTTATTATTTTATTATTATTGTACCTCACAGTCTAAGCTCTTCCGTATTCATCAGTATGACTCCATTTAGCCTGTTTTTTTAAATGTAAAACAAATCCTAGAAATGTTTATAGCTATTGGATGATTTTGTCTACCTTCATTATTTAAGCTGTAAGTGATGGGTGGTCTGCCTTCAACTTTTGTTGGACTTCAGCCCCCAGCAGTCCTCACCGTTAACTTTCCTTTCCAGGGGTGCTGGCTGTTGCAGTCACAACGTCTGAAGGTCCACACTTTGCCTATGGCTGCATATCCCAGTTAAGCCTGTAATTTCTAGAGTATAGGCAGCTGATTGGGTTGCTGACTTTTGAGAAAGCTTCTGAAGATGACATGGTGCTGACTGAAGTACTCAAACTGATTGCCTCTATTGTATTAGCCAAGTGCAGTACATCACTATCACTTGATGATTCAAAAGTAAACCAGTTGTTAGAGAAAAATCTTTACATTGCATCTCATATCAGCTTTTGACTCCATTGATGGTTCTGGAGTTTGATGTAAGTTTGAGTGGATAGATATTGACTATCTCTTAAGGTATTGTTGAATGACACTCCAAGATAACATGAGATAAAGCAAGATGTTTTTATCTTTACTGCTTTCAGTAACGTTGCTACCACTTCTTTCTCTAAAGGGGGAAAAACTCAAAAATGTTTCCCCAAACTATAGACTGACCAATAGAACAGGTCCGCAGCTTGGGTGTACTCCTGGATTCATCCCTAAGCCTGGATGCCCAGGTCTCGGTGGTGGACAGGAGTGCATTTGCACAGCTAAAGCTGGATCTGACATCCTTGAGATGCCAGATCTGGCTACAGTGACACATGCCTTAGTTACATCCTGTTGAATTACTGTAACACGCCCTATATGGGGCTGCCTTTGAAGACGGTTTGGAAACTTCAGCTGGTGCAAAACTCTGCGGCCAGACTACTGACTGGGGCAGGCTACAGGGAGCATATAACACACCTGTTACAAGAACTGCACTGTCTACCAGTCCGTTTCTGGGCCCAATTCATAGTGCGGTCATTACCTATAAAGCCCTATATAGCTTGGGTCCAGGCTACCTGAAGTACCGTATTTCCCTATATGCATCTTCTCTGCGATTAAGATCAGCAGAGGAGGCCCTCCTCTTGGTCCCATTGCCAGTACAAGCACAGCTGTACTAGCTGATTATTATGAAAAGGAAAGATTGAAGATGGTTTATGATAAAGCAGAACATTGTAGTCTTTGGTAACAGTAGAAGCAAGTATGAGTATACAGTTAATGCTCAGCAAATAGACCAGTCCCCCCCTTTTTAATATTTGTGCATATCATTTCAAGAGTTTTTGTCCTGATAGGTACACTTTGATGCATCTCTTCCAACTGTTCAATGGGAAGTAGTTGTAATTTTAAAGTTCTTTTCCAAGGACGGCCAATTAATAAACCCTGTACAGGACTGACCTGGTACTGTGGTATCTCTGTGGTATCCTCGTTTTCAGAAAAAGAAGTTGACCTCACAGTTCCTGGTTAATTTTACTTGTGGACCATTATGGAAAGTATCTACTAGGCTACAGTTTCCAACTACTTTCATGTACCTTGAGGACAGATTTTGTATGGTTCTCCTGGAACAGTGACCAAAGATAGATAGAGAACCTCAGATAGTAGCCGAAATCCTGTTCTGGAGTTACATAAAAGGCATAGAGTTTGGAGATGGATTGCTTCAAGTTGAGAAATCTCCATATACATTATATAAATAATGTTTACTGAGCTTTCTTAACTTGAGAATTCACCTCTAAAAGTTACACCCTTTACATAACTGCACAATAAATTTTGAACATAACGTACATGCTCCCTTCATGATTCGGTAAGTGAAACTCTGTTGGGCCAGATTATTGGTAACTTCATGATTTCAGAAGTACCATAACAGTGAGGTGAAAATCTTCCAGCAGCAGCAGATTTTCAGTAATTAGTGATTTCCAACTTACAGGTAATCTGTTTTCTTGTGCCAAAGCATTGGGAAACAGGAGGAGGAGGCATTTAATTAATAAAAATCTCCTTCACCAGTGATATCACCACCCTTCTGCAGTTATAACTTGCATAATAAGATTTTGGGCAATAGTTTGTATCTTACTATTTTTTATTTTATGTGTATTCTCTTCATTAGTTTTACGTCTAAATCTTGTTATAACCTGGGGGTGGAACAATAAACTTATACATTTCAAATGTGCAAGGGGGTTGTTTGAGTTGTTTTGTTCTGTTTTTTGTTTTTGTTTTGTTTTGTTTTTTGGGATGCAACATGAGGATTTTAGAACACAAATTGCATCTGCTACCAGAAAGTTTAGTCAATACAAACTTGAAACGGATCCATCGCATCTTGGTCAGAAATTGGAGTCCTCACACATGCTTAGGGCTTGTCCACTTCAGTCCAGATTATTCATTTAAGCTGAAAGCTTATCCATTTTAAGAAGTGGGGAACAGTGCAAGGTTATCTTCCCCTCTCCCCACAAGCTAAAGGTTGCCAAATTTTTCAAATACTTTATTTTTCTTTCATTGTTTCTTTAAGGGATATGATTCTTAAAATGCATATTTTGGTTTTTTTTTTTTTACAGGGCAGATAGATGTCCCCCATTTTGACAGAGCTGTTCCCCTTCTCATTTCTGTATCATTAATAGTATAATTACCAATGTGAGGTTTGGAGGGCAGAACCGACACATTTTTTCAGAAAAGTAACCAAGCCTCGAAATTCATCCCTAAGATAACAATTTTGCCATTACTTTTCTGTAAAAATCTCCCAAATTAATGTAGGGTGAAAGTGGACATTTTTTTTTTCATCTCATAGAGGTGTTGTGAGGTACCTTGTTTGGTTCGAAGTAGAGATGCCATGCTTTTTTCTGAGCTTTTTGAAGCTTTCTCTTAGGACAGAAGAAGGCAAGGCAAGGCAAGACTAGAAATCTAATGTGCCTAGCCAGCTTTGCCTAACTTTCTGTTCTAAAGTTGTTTGTGAGGACTAGCCTATGGCTACTGTATAAATTAATTGTGGCTGCTGTAATAAAGTACATTATGTTATTGTATTGAATTGAGTGTTTGATGTTTTGGATGTTCTTTACTGTAGAATGACAAACACCAGCAGATATCTGGAAGGCTGCAAGATGTTCGAAATAGAAAGCAAAATCAGAAAAATGAGCTGGATGTTCTGGAAAAAAAATGTGATTTGGAGAGCATTGAAGTTAAGGGGCTACACAAGCAGCTTCAGGTTTGTCACCATCCACCAAACATGAAATTACTTCTTTGACATGTGAAAAGAATGGAGAACAAAATCGGAGTTTCTCATTTCTGAAGTCTGATATGGCAGTTGTTGCCAAACAGTGGTATATGAGAGCCTAGACTCATAGATACAGAGTTTCTAGACTCTTTTGGTTATCAGGGACACTGACATCCTCTTCCACCCCTATAGACACTCTAGTTTAGCTGCAATCCATACAGCTTTTTGGGTGGTCTAATTACAGCTACACTTCTTCATCTTCTATGCCTCTAAAAGGTTTCCCCACAGCCCTTAATTTGATCATTCTATAGAGACATTCAAGCAAAAGTGACCTCTCAATGTAGTTTGGCAAGTCCTATTAAAATAATTTGTAAAGTTAAGAAAACAGTTATCTGCAATTGTTACATTAAGCTACATTAAGCTAAATATCCAGCCCCTTTTGTGGCATGCCTATAGATCAATTGTATTGGCAAATGTCTTCCAGAAATTTTTTGAAACATAATTTGGGTCCCAGAGTGAGTATTTGGGACAGATTTGACCCTTACTGTGCCCCGCAAACAGGTATCTGCCTCCCACCTCCTTGTTTATCCTCAGTGAAGCACTGTGGTATTGGCAGAGCTATTCACATATGCTCAGTGGGGAACTTGACAGTATTAGAGGCAAAGCAATCTAAGGACATCAAGTTCTTGGACTACAACTCTCAGAAAGAAGCCTTCACCACTAGCTGAGCTGACCAGAATTTGTGGGAATTGTCGCCGAAGAACAGCTGGGGATCCAAGGTTGAGAAGCATTGTTCTAAAGAAGCTGATTGCCTTTCCTGCTATTGCATGTAGCGCCTCAGACATAGGCGGTGGTAATAATAATTACCATATTTTTCCATGTATAAAATGACACTTTTCCCTAAAATAATTAGAGGAAAAAATGAGGGTTGTTGTCACAATCCCTGTGTGGCCCCTGCTCACGCTGCATGTCCTTTAGCTGCCACCAGTTGATTACATCAACATTGTTTATTATTAATGATTGAGGTCCAGACCACATGTCATTTTAAAAGAACCAAATTGAAATTGTTTATTGTTACAGATGTTCACAAGACAAGCAATGTCGTTAACTTTTAAACAAACATCCTCCTTTATCCACTCCCAACCACCGCTCTCCTGTCCAAACTCCAAAACTTTCAGTCGCAACTCTCAATCTCCCTGACTCATCTGAAACTCCCATTCTAAACTCCTCCTGCTGCTGCTGAGTCTCTTATATCTCGTGACTCCGCCCCTCCAGCACTCCCATTGGTCTATGCAGATATCCTATGAATATTCATGACTTGGGCAGACGCCACAGTTGTTTTATACATGGAAGGAGGCAGAGGCGAAGGAGCAGCCGCGCTCGGCCGCCTCTTGCAGCTGCCCATTGACTGCTGCTGCCACCACCGCCGGATTGCCTCCTCCATTGCCACTCGCGGGCTCACTTTGGGCAGGGGACAAGGCAGCGATGTGAGCTGGAGGTGAGCCCTGGCAGTTGCACTGGAGGAGGCAATCCGGTGGCAGAGGCAACAGGAGGAGGAGGTGGAGGAGCAGCCACACTGGGCCGCCCCTTGCAGCTGCCCCTTGAATGCTCCTCCAGCAAGCGTCAAAATTAAGGGGTTGTCTTATACATTGGGGGGGGTCATAAACACGGAAAAATACAGTATACACAGCAAAACACCCAAGAAAGCTTTCAGCTGCGCGTTACGGGCTGTATTTTGTTTTCATGCTGGTGACTGGCTACAGGAGTTTTCTAAACATTTTAGACTCATGAGCTCAAGAAACTGTATTCAATTTTCACAGGATTTTTGAGTTAGCTTACTGCAGCCAAAGCATCAAAAAGTACTTTATCACCTAAAAGCCTAACACTTTTTTTGTTTTTTGTTTTGAGCAGTGTAATGTAACCAGCACAAAAATGTTTGAATATTTTGTTTTGGTGTTCTGCCTGAAAGCTCTGACTCAATAATTACTTCAGTAAACAACAAAACATAAAATAGACTTTCCCACATGATAAATAATGCTTAAGAGAAAATGAGCTTTAAATGTATCTTCAGTAATTTCAGTAAATTCAGTAATTTCAGAGTTTATTTCTTCCAAATAATGATATATGCCATAGAACGTTGTTGGGAAAGAATTGTAGTGCAAAATTAAATTTGAGGTATATTATCACATTGTCTTGATTGTAGCATATGAAAAGTATACTGATTATACATTTTAAAAATTTGCCTCCCAACTCTGCAGGAATATCAGAATAGGTTGATACTCCTTGTTCCTGAAAAACGGCAGTTAAGTGAGAAAATAACTCATATGCAGTTGGACAAATCTCCTAGTACGTATTTTCAAAAGAATATATTTTCATCCTTTCTACAATTTTCTTTTGCTCGTTGTGACCAAGTACAAACAGTGGTGAAAGGGGAAAGCAAAGTTAAGAATTTGGGAAGGACTAAGGCTGGGGCTGATTTCATAATTGCAAGGATAGCTGAACAAAATGAGTAATTGACTGGCTGATATGTGAGGTGAAAGCTTTTGTCGGAATATAGAAAAGGGAGGATTGGCTAAGGAATAAGAAGTTGCATAAACAGAACTGAGAGGGTGTTAATGCTAATAAAACATTCTTTGTTTATCATATTTGCACTGTATTTTGCAGGCAGATAAAATTCAGCATGAAACATAGATATTTCAGACTGAGAAGTTTCCCATCATCTTCCATATTATAGGAAAATGTAACAATGAATTGATAAGCCAGTATCTTTAGCCTGCAAAATACAAGACTGAGAAGATACATGGTGGAAGTATTTAAATATCTCTGTCTCTTTAAATAAGATCTGTCAAGTAGAAGTAGGCAAAGTTGTGTGCTCTACTCTGTCAGAGGGCAAAACTTGATCTAAGCACCTGAAGGTAGAGGAGTGTATATCTTGATTTTACAAAAGATGAACAATAACTCTCGTTTAGCAGCCACAGCAGATTGACAATGGAACCAATAGGTTACATGCTTCTCTCTTTGTCAGTCCTGAAGCCAAGGCGGGACAGCCATCTTTTGGGAATATTTCAATTGTGGATTTCTTGGCATTAATTACATAAGGGTTTGGACTAAATGGGTCAGATGTAATATGTCGGTTACAATACAATCATTGAGCAGAGAATATTCCCAGAGAGAAAATGAGTGTGAGAAAAATTGTCTGGTATACATGCATGTGCACATGAGAGGGCATATATGTGCATGTTCATGCCCAAGTCTGGGCAGTCACATTGGGAAACACATGCAGTGGTATAGACATTGGTGTGTGGCCACCAACGCAGATGCCCACAGCCCATTTGACCCTCGTACTGAAAAAATGTCCCCGTCCCTGTCCTCCTTCAACTCTATGTATTAAATCCAACCCAAAGTTAAATCCGCTGTTCAGCCACAGATCCATTGAGGGATTATCTCAGTGTTCCAGTGCTTTATTGTTAACATACAAATAATAGTGACCTGTAATGTCATCGTTTCAGGCATTTCTCAGCCAAAATGTTAAAACACTATATATTTATAAGGACTGTGTAAATGATGAAAAAAATAAATTGAAAGTTTGCTGATTAAGATAAATGTTGAATGTTTGAATTTCTCTCTGCAGATACAGACCTTAATTCACTGCACAAGAAATCGTCAGAAAAAGAAGAGTTATGCCAAAGACTTAGAGAACAACTAGACACACTAGAGAAAGAAACAGCTTCTAAGCTGTCTGAAATGGATGCTTTTAATAATCAGCTTAAGGTACTATCTTGATGGAGGCTCTTCAATATAAATCAGAGTACTCATTTGCTTCCTGCTCTAAAAGGCAACAGAACCACACAACTATATTCAGTATATATATATATATATATCTCAGCTCCAGACGGTCTGTCATTTCTGATATTTATTTCAATTTGTCAGGCACACTTCAGCCAACGAGACTCTGTATGTGACAATTTCTTGCAAAGTGCTTACTCCATTTTCTTTTATGTGGTGCTGATATTCATCCTTTTATCTGCTTTGACATGAAAAAGTGCAGTGAAGAGCAAATGTCAGCACTTTGCAGTTGGGGACCTCATGTATGTATGCTGTTCTGTTATAACTGGAAATAATATCACTAGGTATTGTAGGTTCAAAGCAAAACCTGACATGGGGATTTGCAAAATAATCTAATTTGTACTTCACCTTTTAATATAATTAATAAAAGCTAACCACAGAATGTAGTAGGACAAGAAGGGGTGATCTTGTTGTTTCAACTGTTTCCCCGGTGGAACAGTTTTCATTGTACAGTGGTGCCTCCACTTACAACCATAATCCGTTCCAGAAGATGGATGTAACTCGAAATGGTCGAAGCACCATTTCCCATAGGAATGCACAGGAACGTGTTTAATCTGTTCCAGCATTTTTTTAAAATACCAAAATAAAATAAAATAAAGCACCGCAAGCCCCATAGGAACGCGCTGGGGCTGCAAAAAAAAAAAAAAAAAAAAACAACCCAAAATAAACATTGGAGCAAGTCCCATGCTGAGACTGCAAAAAAAAAAAACCACCCTCAAAACATCAGAGAAACATAACCCCCCAGCCCAAACCCACCCAGAACATTTTTTTAAAAAGTTAAAAACAGCACCTTACCTTACCAGGCAGTCCAAAGCCTCCTCTGATGGCACTCATTCCCGGCTGCAGCCGAAGCAGCAGCAGGGCCAGCCATGACGGAGGGCGAGGGGCTGGAGCTCCAGGCCAGGAGGAGCGTCTCCTTCCAGCGGAGCACGGGCACAGCCATGACGGTGGCCCAGCTTTGGTGGCTGCTCGTCGGGGCTCCTCGCCGCCCTCTGCGGGGCCGATGCCACCGCTGCTACTGGGTTCCGGTCCTCGGCACGGGGGCGGAGGGGGGCCTGATCCCGGAGGAAAAGTCCTCCCACACCGCCGCCTCCTCCTTCCTGGCGAGCTGCACTCAGTCCTTGGCCCCACAGTGGGTGGCTCCTGGGCTGCTCATTGGGGCGCCCGCCGTTGAAACGCTGCAACAGCTGTGGGAGCTCTAGCCACAAGTTGAAGCAAAAGCTGGTTGTAACTTGAAATGGTCGTAAGTAGGGACGGCCATAAGTCAAGGCCCCACTGTTTCTTCATGCCTTATCTATGTGCCCTTTACACACACAGTGGCAGGAGCAGTGGGGATACCTTGCCACAGCAGTTCAGGAAAGGAGCCCCATGTGCCATTCCTTACCCACCTAAGTATTCCCACCTATACCTAAGTGGGTATAGTCGTCTTCAGCATCATCCTTACCTGACCTTCTATTTCCAGTCTGGAAGGATGAGTACCATCACTTAGAAAGCTTGTGAACACACCCTTAACTTTCCTGCCCTCCACTTGATAGGCTCTGCAGCCTTTGTCAAGTTCAAAAATAACTTCAGGTTCCTTGAAGTTTCCCACGGAGACTTAACTGCTGGAGGCTGGATTGAGCAAGTGCACAGTCTTCCCCAAGTAGTCTAGTGAAATGTAGTGATTATTTCTAGATTGGCATCTTTGCATCTAAATTAGCATGTGAAAATATGCCTTCTGATTTTGATGCATTTGGTCCATGTAAATATCCTACAACGTACTTCTCCCTGAAAGGGAGACTTTAAAAATCCCCTTCTCCTTGCATTGATCCAAGCACTTTGCAATGCATGAGCTAGAGATGCATCCTGGACAAGAAATGGAAGCCACTGCCTCTAGGAAGGATTCTGTTCGCTAGTTATGTGGGAATAATTGGAGAACGTTCTTAGCTCTCTTGCAGCAGCCACTTCATCTGTTTAGTCCAGCAAAACAAGACTGATCAAGACAATGACAGTTTGTGTATAGGAAAGAAGTTTCAGCACACTAAGTGAAGGACTGGGCATACCTGTGGGGTGTGGAGTATTGACTGTTGGGGAGTAGAATGAAAACTGCTGTAAGAAAGGGAGTGGAATAAATCATTACAGCAGAGAGTGTGGTGAAACAGGAACATTCTGTCCTTTAGTGTTTGTTGTGGATCCCACTTACATACTACTGTATAGTGTGATTTGGTCTTGATGAAATGTAATTTCTAGTCTTGTGAAAGCTTAAGGGAAAATTTTAAAATACATAGTAATGATCTTAGAACTGCAGACCTGAGGGACCCTATGGATCATTGCATGCAGCCCCTCTCAAGGGGGCACAACCTCTGGCTCTTCAGAATCTCTTTGTACTCTTAAAAAAAATGGGACAGTATGATTAGTGTGCAGCATACTAGTGGAGTGGTTCCAGTTAAAACACCATGGATTCCCAACAATTTTAACAGATTCAGGGCAAAGTGTAACAGCTTTTTATCTGCCTTATCTTACAGTGTGAGACTGTGGATGCTTCTGTTCTTCAGTGCCTTTTGTGTCTGCTAAGCTGTCTCAACAACCTCTTCCTCTTACTTAAGGTTATTTTCTAATCTTTGGCCTTTTTTGCTTCTAATAATTTCATTGTTTTCTCTGTGTGTGTTTTTAAAAAATCCTTTAGTGCTTAACTTCAAATCTTGCCTTTGCAATAATTAGTGCTGTATAGCATGAACAGATTTTCCTTTGCTCTTCTTGCTTGCTTTTAAACATTTGTTCACCGACGACTATAAAGTGTTTCTGTCATACATCTAACCAGTCACTGTATCAAAGAACCTTGGTCCCACCATGGTAGAAAGTTTTCCACTTTAGCCCACTTTTCCTGAAGTGAACACTGATACATTTAAAGACCGTCTGTTATATATATCACTTATGGTAAGTTTTAAATATTTTTAAAAATTATAGTGGAAGTAGACAAAGAAAAACAATAGTTTCATTAGTACATTACTAATAATGGTTAGTAATGAGTTGACTGACGTAACAAGAAGTATTAATAGTTACTTGAAATATATGTTTAAAGATTAAAATAATAAGTTTTGAAATTAAAAATTTACATGAATGGGGGAAGCAAGTTAATGTTTCACATTTCCAAAGGGATCTATAGAAGAGTAGTTCTGCAGAGGTGCTTTTGCTTCTGTGGAAGGAGACGATGGCACAGGTCAGATTGTAAGGACACTTCACATGCATGCATGATATCCTGTGTGCCAGAAACATTGATCATGCCTGACTGTAGTTATTTAGTGGTGATAAGACGGACATCTGAATTCATGTTTGTCCAGCTGTGCTTGTGATATGGAATTTGTTTCGTGGTAGGCTCTTCATCTTTAATAGCTACGTATATGGCAGGCATGGACAATATTATCCTCTGCATACTGGAAATAACTAAACCTTTAGTATTTCTCCCATGCAGATGGTTCAGAATTTCAAAATTTCCAAAACTTACTGCTATTGTTCTTTACAAAAATTTGATTGAGGGAACTTGAGACCTACTGTGTATTCAATGTGTAATTCTGTTTTCTGGGTTATATCTACATGCCATATACTATCTACATGCCATTTACTGGCATTTCCTTTAAGGGGTGTCATGAACAGCCTTGAACTCTGCTCATGCCTATTCTAGAAGGACAAACTCACAGGAAAGTCTGGTCTTGGAGTCTTCATGCCTCCAGAAATAAAATGATCTGTATTCTGGCATAGGCGCGACCTAAGCAGCCTTCTCTTTGTAGCAGGGGAGTTTGATGCCGCCTCCTCTGATACCATATTATATTGTCAGGATCAGACTCTGGCCTCAGTTGACCGAGATGAAAGTAGGCACTGTGAGGACTAGTTCACTATGACATGTAGGTCACAGCCAGAACAAAACTCTGTGGAGTGTAAGTTGGGCTGGATTAGATTCTTGTTGGGGTGTAAGCTGGATTCTGGAGTGGGAAGCTGTGCCTGCTGAAGTCTTCTATGCCTCTCACTAAAAGGGTCCCATTGAAGTAATTTGAGAGGCAAAGGGCTAAAATTCAGACTGGATTTGACAAGGCTGGCAGTCTTGTCAAGAGGGAGAAAAGAAGTACACAGACGTGTCACTTATTTCTTCTTCCTCTCCTGCCCCAACCTTCCACTGAGCTTCTGCCATTTCTCTCCTCTCTCCAAGATGCCCAGCATTTTGCTTTTCTAAGGTGCCCATAAGCCCATGTCATGTGCAGGAACATGCTGGAGAAATGAACATGGTGCTGGAGATTGGCATTTCATGTTGCAGCATTCCTTGCCTTCTGTGTTGTTATTGTTGTTGCTGTTGCTGTTGTTTTGAAAGTGTTTTGAAATGTAAGCAAAATGAGGAAGGGGCTTTGGCAGTATGAAGGAGATATGAGTGTGCCATCTGTAGTGATTGAAGGATGATGGAGGAAACGGAGATTGGTGGCACGAGTGAGAGTGGAGGAGAAATAATGACAGAGGCAGGAAAACAAGAAACGGTAGCTGAGGAGAAAAAGGGGAAGATAAAAGTTAGTTTGGTGGAAGAGAGCGCAAAGGGAAAAGGGGAGGAGCAAAGAATGTCAGTGTGGGAGGAAAGTACAGTATAAATAATCAGGGTAAGTGTTCGGGGCAGAATTATAGAATTGGATGAGAAGGAAGGAAGAAGAGAGATGTGAAGAACCAGAGTATAAGAAAAGTCAAGAATTATTTAAGAACTTTCCTAATCTTAAGGTGGGTGGGTTACTGCCAGACCCCCCCACACCTAAGGCGGAAGGCAGGACGACACAAGAGTTGGTGGTCATGGTGTTCCCGAGGGGACAGGGGCATGGGAAGCAAGTGATCCGACGTGACGGGAGATACAACACCCCACTGTGCAGTGCAGAGTGAGCCTCTCCAGAGATCTACGGATCAGGAGCAATTTGGCTGAGCACCCCATTGAGTGCGTTGGAATTGGGGGGGAGGGAATTCATGTTCTCTAGTTATGGCCTGTTGCCAGAATTGACATGTTTTGACCCAATCATGAACACTGTTGAAGATTTTGGAACTAATAAAAAATAAGACATGAGCACTATTAAAACATCTCCAGTTTTATTTTCTGTGCCAAAAGAGGAGTTGCCTGAAAGTAGAAAAAGAACCCGATCACAGCCAGGTGTCAGGGCAGTATGACATCCAAGAGCATTGCACTGTGGATGCCAACCTTAGAATGACTGACTCCTCTGTGTGTGGTGTCTGATGTTTAATCCTTTCCCTTTTCAGCCATGGAGCTAAATGAGTTCATTAGGTTGAATAGCATTAAGTAAAAAATTCTTAGAATTCAAGGCAGAGAAGGAGATAGTCTCATCTCTCTCTCTGCATAATGTTTAGAGAAGGCATTAATGTATGAAAAGGATTAATTATGCAAGCAAACCATGTACTGTACCAAAGTCTTGAGATAAGCTAATAGTAAAAAAAGGCATAATTAATAATTGAAAAAAATTAAAAGGGCATCAGTAAATCCAGAATTGCCACTTTAAGCACATATAGTTCTTTTCATTTCTGACAGTAAGGTGTGGCTGTTGTTGTTATTATTATTGTTATCAATGTTTTGCCATTGTTGTTGTTACAAGTGTATACTTGAGAAGCATATTTTAAGTACTTGTTTTGTTAGAGAGACTGAACACCTCTTATTGTAGAATTGCCTTGTGTATTTGTATCCACTCTTGAATTAACAGCACTGCTTTTCTAAAAAGCTGCTTGCATTGTGCTCAACTTATTTCATTTTATATTTCCATATTAGGAGCTCAGAGAAGCCTACTCCACACAGCAGTTAGCACTTAAGCAGCTTCACAAAAGGAAGCAAGACAAGATCCAAGAACTTGAAAAGAAAAGAGCAGAACTTGCGCAAAAGAAGAGAGCGGAAGATGAGGCTGCACGGTAATGTGCTTAAACATTCAGGGGTTTAAAATTCCAGTTTCAGTGTCTTTTCTCAGAAGATTAAAACCATTTTTGTTACTATTTATGTTGGGATTCTGAGTTCTTTTTGAAAGTCAAGTGGTAATTTAGTTTACTCCAATTTCACCTTTATGTTTTGTTTGATTTGGTGTTTTTAATGCTGCACAATTGTGTGGTTTGGGGGATGGTATTGTGAGGAGTCATAGAATACTGCAGACCTGTCTCTACATGGGAAAGTGCAGCCATCCTGGTTGCCATAATAGCAGCAAGAGCAATTAGGGAGATTGTGTGTGTGTGTGTGTGTGTGTGTGTGTGTTGGACTGTGTGTGTGTGTGTGTGTGTGTGTGTGTGTGTGTGTGTGTGTGTGTGTGTGTGTGTGTGTGTGTG